CAAACCCTGCCTCCAACACAGCCCCTGTGAAGGAACACAGCCGGAGGGGGTTGTCACCAGGCTGTGGGGGAGCTGGATTCAGCTGGAGGGACCCGCACAGCAGGGCACTGGTCCTGGCCCCCCCTCCATGGGGGTACAAAACCCAGCCAGCACTGCTGGGGGGTCCCAAAGGACACCATCCCCCCTCCCAAACTGCAGCAGCAGGTCCCCAGGCATGTGGGGATGCAGAGCTGCCCTGGGACCACAAGCCTAGGGCTACAGGGTGGGGGGGGCTCTGCCTCAAGGCTGGGCTGTGACACCCCCCCCCCTGCCAATTCACTCTGTGGTCATGGGGTTACAGCACATTTCCCAGCCCAGCCAGGCCCCATGGGAGGTACCAGCCGGTCAGGGCCCCCCCCCTCCACCTACAGAGGCCAGTTCAGCACAGGGAAGGTCACAGCAACTGCCCCCGCTTGCAAGCTGGGGACGGAGCCGGGGTGTCCCCCACAAACAGCCCCAAACACAAAGGATGCAGCATGCAGACCCCCCTCGGGACCCCCAGGGCCTGGGCAAGCCCTGCGGAGGCAGTGCCAGGCTCCAAACACTCCCCAGCAACCCAATCCAGCTGCTTACAGCAGATTCGGGGTGTATGTGGGGGTCCCCACCTGGCTCTTCTGAGCAGGAAAAAGCTCCTCCCCGTATGCTCCCCCCATCCTGAGCCAGCCCGACCAGCGAGTGCCGCCCTGGGGTGGGGGCTGACCCCAAATCACTGGGGCAGGAGGGATCTGCGGCCCCATCACCCAGGTCCAGACCTGCCCCTGGGGCCCAGGTGCCCCCCGCCCCGCTGGGGTAAGGGTGCTCCAGAGGAGTGAGCGCGGGAGGGGGTGCAGCTGGTTTTTGGGTGGGCGGTGGGAAGGGAAAGGCGGTTTGTGCCCCCATCTCCAAGCAAGATGCCCCCTCAGAGCCCTGATGGGAGCCCCACGTACAAAAACTATGTCACAGAATAAATAGAGGCACCGGGGAGGGGCGGGGGGGGGAA